AAGAAATGGGAGTGCCTGACCACCTTATCTATCTACTGAGAAACCTATACGTGGGACAGGAAGCAACAGTTAGAATTGGATATGGAATAACTGATTGTTTCAAAATTGGGAAAGGAGTACGACAACGCTGTATATTGTTTCCCTGCTTATTTAACTTATATGCAGAATACATCATGCGGAAGGCAGGACTGGAGGAATCCCACACTGGAATTAAGATTGCCGGAAGAAATATCAACAACCTCTGATATGCAGATGATACCACTCTGGTGACAGAAAGGGAGGAGGACTTAAAGAACCTCTTAATTAAGGTGAAAGAGGAGAGAGCAAAAAATGGCTTGAAACTCAACATCAAAAAAACTAATATGGCCACTGGTCCCATCACCTCCTGGGAAATTGAAGGGGAAGATATAGAGGCAGTGACAGATTTTACTTTCTTAGGCTCCATGATCACTGCAGATGGTGACAGCAGCCCCGAAATTAAAAGGCGCCTGCTTCTTGGGAGGAATGCGATGACAAACCTAGACAGCACCTTAAAAAGCAGAGACATCACCTTGCCAACAAAAGTCCGAATAGTCAAAGCTATGGTTTTTCCTGTCGTGATGTATGGAAGTGAGAGCTGGACCATAAAGAAAGCTGACCACCGAAGAATTGATGCCTTTGAATTGTGGTGCTGGAGGAGGCTCTTGAGAGTCCCCTGGACTGCAAGGAGAACAAACCTATCAATTCTAAAGGAAATCAACTCTGAGTGCTCACTGGAAGGACAGATCCTGAAGCTGAGGCTCCAGTACTTTGGCCATCTCATGAGAAGAGAAGATCCTTGGAAAAGACCTTGATGTTGAGAAAGTGTGAGGGCAAGAGGAGAAGGGGATGACAGAGGATGAGATGGCTAGACAGTGTCTGCGAAGCAACCAACGTGAATTTGACACAACTCCGGGAGGCAGTGGAAGATAGGAGGGCCTGGCATGCTCTGGTCCATGGTGTCACGAAGAGTCGGACATGACTAAACGACTAAACGACGACGAGTATATGTTGTAAACCCCCCAGTGTAGTGCTTGAATTAATTGAGTGGGATACAAATCAAATCAAATCAAATCAAATCAATCAATCAATCAATCAATGGTATGTATATGTCTGCTTTAAATAAACAACAAATGAACCATAAACAAGTAAGCTAGATTAATGGCTTGGAGGAAAGGGGCTGAATATATCTGGTAAGACTAGGAGTGAAGCATCGTCCTGTCTTCATAATACATATAATGAATCTAGTTACTGTATTGTTATGGTTGATGACAGGTTTCTAGATTCACAGAATCACAGAATAATTATTGAGTTGGAAGGGACCTATAAGGCCACTGAGTCAAGCCCTTTGCTAAGTGCAGGAATCCCAGTTAAAGTAGATCTGACACATGTTTGTCCAGTTTTCTCTTCTGTGTTATCTCTTTCACAGAGAGTAATTGCAGATGTTGTGCATTTGTTATTTTCAGCAACATTTCAATTGCAATAATTGAAATGTTGCAAAGTGATGCTAACATTAAAATTCAGGAAACAGATGTCCCCTTCCACCATGCAGAACATGGACACACTGACATACACCTTTGGCACCTTAAACTCCACCTAAATTAATGCAAGAGGTGAAATCCACTCTTTGATTTCTTAAACTAAAGGCACCTCCACTTACCAGTGAAAAGCTCACTAAACATAAGAGTTCTCCCAAATACAGATCAAGTGGAATGCAGTAATGAAAAGTCTGTGCGGGGCACCACTCTATTATATCACATTAATGCTTTGGTAATCACATTGGTTTACATGACTCATCAAAGCAGACTAGTCTAAATTGAGGCACCCATTTCCCTCTCACTTGTCTTCTTCAAAATAATCTATTTTAAAATAATTTATTTTCCTTCTGCAGTTAGCATTTTTCATCACAGTACACAAGCACAACCCTTTAGAAAAAGAAACACATCTTTAAAATAGTTCATATGCCAACAGTAATAACATACAATTTACATGCAAGTACAGGACAGCACTGTCAGCCCCCAGGCTGTTTTCCACCTGTGCTGTTACTCGAAAAATCCCCACGTTCTGATAGATGTGTTTGATCCCATCTTCTGTTGAGCTAAGATTGGCATATGACACAGCACTGCCATCTCCAAAGTCCACACGGATGATCGATCGTTGAATATCACCCTAAAATTAGAAAAGAGGGGAGAGAGAATCTTAGGTTAGTGAAATCTATATGAAATCCAGGAATATTTTAATTTTTGACAATTTGCAAGGGATTCACAATTAAGAAACCAAAATTTATACCAGGCATGGACAACATATCGCTTATGGAGCTCATCTACACCCCCCCCCCAGGAACCCAGATGCAACAACCTCAGGCTTCCAAACACCCCAGCCAGTCATAGCCATAGGCATCCTTCAGTCTCGAGAGACTATGGTAACATGCTCTGAATCGAGGAGTGTCCTCTCCAGAGCATGAAGCCTAGGTAAAGTAATATGGAGGATAGGCTGTTACCCAAGCACCAGATCCCCCCAAACACCCCTAAACCCCCAATTTACCACTAATTATTTGGGAGAAATACCCAAAAAGACACCTCCTCTCTAATGATTGAGGGGAGTCAATTTTAGATGTTTTGAGTGAGGCACAATACACTCTCCCCATAAATAGTATTTTAAAAAAACTGGCCACTAGAAGATGCAAAGGAGATTTTTAAAAAAATTTTGGTTAAATAATATAAGATACTATTCAATCCTTCAAACATTTTTCATTTTTTGAAGAACTAAATTTCTTGGCTCTTTTAAATGGAAGTTTAAGTACACATACACTACACATAAATTCCAAAACAAAATTCTGTCATGTATCCAGTGCTATAGGATCCCAGAATATGAGCACATGATCTGTACTATGGTTGCTGGGAGAGGAGTGGTAAAAGCGATTGCAAAAACCTAATCGTACAGTGATTTCCTTGTTAAGTGAAGCAATTGTTAAGCAAGGCACCTAGAGACACCATAACTATCGAGAGGTTTTTACAGACTGTCCTCTACAGTCTCTCCAAATTTGGGGAAGATTGGGCTTTCCCAAGCCAGCTGCTAAAGGGCACTTTCCTGGGTGGACCCATTTTGTGGGTGTATGACTTGGATGTCAGAAACCAAATCTTCACCAAACTTGTGGGACCTGTAGAGGAGAGCCAGAGGAAGCTTCCCTGCACAATTGGTGTCTCTAGGGTGCTTGGACGGGGGCCACTTTACAAGGTAATAAAGTTTTAAAAATGAATTGATTAATCAATTTGTTGATTTATCAGGAAAAAATTGTAAAATTGTAATTTGTGATTCATTAACCTTGATGAATCATGAATCATAACAAATTGCCCATCTCTATTGCTCACCTGGGGGAAAAAGGCCTAAACTAAGTAACTCAAAGTCTTACCTAAGCCCAGCTTGGCCTACTTTCCTATTCAGAAAGAAAGCGTCCCTCTAGCACTGCAGTAGGAACAGAAAGATTGGGGGGAGCAAAGTCTAGCTAAGCCTCAAAGTCCTCCAGTTAAGGCCTCTTCTCCCATACACATTTAGGTATCTGAAAGGTGTTTGTAATGCAGGTAAAACTCCCAGAATGGAGAATCATGGGATTTGTAGTCAAAGAAAATTTTTTTAAAGCATCCCTTTCTGTATAGGACTTTGTTATACTAAGCTAATTGTTATGCTAAGAGACCTTGGAAAAAAAGATGCTGAGCCTGTCCAAACTTTTTACCATCACCTTTTGTCAGTTCTGTTAGGCCAAAGAATATGCTGAGTCTACAATTCCCACCGAGAGATAAGGGTCTGGAATTATTTTTAAGCTCAGCATGATGTGGCATTCTGGTTTTCATCAAGGCTTCCTGCTGAGAAAGATGTCCTGTTCTGGTCTAATTGGAGAAAACCTACAGCTGCCTCTTACGGTCTCTTTCATGAGATGACTTTGGGTATTTCTTTCCAGTTCTTCTCCATTGTTTATTTTTTTAACTTTTGACCTGAAAATGCTTTCTCTCCCATTAAATGCAGCTTCTAACAGTTTTCTCAAAAGGCCATGTTTAAAAAGTTGGCATTTAAATATATCGGTTTTCAAGACCAGAGGACACAAAAACAAAGCAATGGCATGCAAGACAAGTATTAAGTATTCCAATATGAAAAATCAGATAAGAAAGAGAGCAGATGGGAGAAAGATGCCACCAAATCTTCTGTTCCAAAGTTTATACTCTTCCCAACACGTCCTTAGCAGAAGAAAAACACTAACAGTTTATAAGCAAGTATATAGAAAATTGATTTCTGCTCCTTTCACACGTTGCATAAACTTCAAACAGTCAGAGGATTCTTCAGTTAATTAGCTATTTGGCTAAATGACAGTAAACTTCTGCAACACTGTTATCTAGGAATCTACAGCTTTGGTCAACAGTTGGAAAAAATGATGGAAAAAAACCCTACAGTGATGCTAAACAAAAACCCCTATATGTGAGCAAAAAAAATTACCATTAATCTGTACTATACCAGCAACATATATGGCTGCTTTTTGTGGTTCCCTTCTCCCCATTTATTCCACAAACCCTTTCTATCATATGTTTTACTGAGAAAGCAACTGCTTCCCATTCACCCAGAAAGTTTTGTAACTTGAGCAAGGATTAGAACTTGGGTCTGTTTCAAATCTTGCTCCATACTGGCTCTCTCAGATCTGTGGTTGCTATATAAATGATGCTAAGGCTGAGCCCCAGTGGTAGACGAACACTGCAACTGTGCATGTGCTTCACTTGCATATTATTCAATTTTGCACGTTCTGCACAGATTGGGGAATCCTGAAAGTCTCTGCATCAAACATATCTATTTCTTAGAAGTGCAGTGAAAATGTCCTGTTGTGATTTTCTTTTCCTCGGTAGAAAGCAGATGGGGGATATTGGAAAGACAAACATAAAATAAGATAATAATTGGGCATTATTTAGTAATGGTAATTTGTAAAGAAGTAAAAGGCAACTTGTTTTAAATATGCATTTTTTAGGCCCAGCAGTTTCAACAACTTCCCTCAAAATTATATGTCTGTTGTGTATAATTATTCAGAAATAAATTTGAATACTTCATAGTGCCAGTTATGATGAAAGGGTCAGAATGAGTAGGATGAGAGAAGGCTAACATCTCTGAGACGGACATTAACCCATCCATGTTGCATCAAATAATATACAGTGGGAGCTCTGTACCCATGGGATCAGTATCTGTTGATTCACTTATTCACGGTCTGAAAATATTAAAAATGTTAAAAAATAAACCCTAGAAATATATATTTCTAAGCATGAAGTTACCAGAAATGGCTACTAGAGGGAATCAGAGATCATGCTATGTATGGCATTTGCTACAGAAATATATTTCTATAATGTGATTATTAAAACTGGGCACAGAGACCATGCTATTTATAGCATTCACTATTAAAATAGCTTTTGCATTTTTCAGCATCCACAGAGGCGAGGCTTGAAACCAGTCCCCCATGGATACAGAAGTCCTACTATACTGCTTTCTTATCATGATGCATAATTCGTGGCTGAAGGATTACCCTGGGTGGGGACCACTTTCCTCAGTTTTGCTGTGTGGAAATATGAATATATAAGGAAGGCATGCTATGTGTGGTTAACTGTGTTTTGCACATATGTTCTTCTTACAGCCTCCCTTGGTTTTTTGGCACTGAAAGATGCTGAGCTGATGTTATAGCCTGACCTGTTTAGACAACATTATTATGCCTTGATTGCTTATATGCCTTCCACAATATTATGCTGCTTAAGAAGATGATATTGCTAATCTTAATCATCCTAATGAGCTTGGCACTTTCAAACATTCGATTCCAAGCTCACCCAAGAGGCTGTAAGCCTACATTTGTTCCATAAAGTGCTGGGGTTTATATGTAAATCCAAGTGTTAAAAAGACGAGATGCAACTCAAAGTTTTAAAAACCAAGTCCCAAGTCTCACATTTAATTTGGAACTCTTCAATTACGCAGTGACTTGTTATCTCTTTATCTGTGCAGATGTTTAAAAATTGAGTTTTAATTAGCCATTGTAGCAGGCAGATGTTGCTTCTTCTTGGTTGTCTTCCAGAATGGAATTCTAAGCAATCTGTTCTATGGAGTCCTTATGCTGAGTAATCCTGTCCCACTCCATCCCCACACTAACTATTGCAAGCATTCATGTTAGATTTACTCATGGAAGGAATTTTTTTATGGGATTTAAGCTAAGAATCCTTCTTTTTAACCATTGACAAGACAACCTTGTCCATCGACTCAAAAGCAAGTCACTTACTCCAGTGAACTGGATAATGTTAATTTAATTTTACCTTAAACAGGTAAAAGACAATTCCCAATTTATAGTCAACTTATCTTTGGAATACTGGCCTGAACTATGTTTAAAAAATGTAAGTGGTGTTTCTGGAAAAGTACTAAGAATATGTTATTCTTGGCCACTCATTTATTTTACATTCTGTGCAATATCTCACTGGATACAATATAGTCTCTCTCTCTCTCTCTCTCTCTCTCTCTCTCTCTCTCACGCACACACACACACCCCTCCAGATCTTATTAGAAGGGATCCACAGTCCTCCAGAAAAGTTTTTTTAGAATGCATAAGGGATTGCAGGAGAAGGCAAAATTATCCCCTCCCAATTCCCTTTATAGAAACCATTCCATTGGTCAACAGGTTTAATTGGACATCACACAAAAAAACAATGATGATTATTCTCCTTCGCTTAAGCCTATAATTTAGGATTGTGTTCTTTCCTTCCACACCTCTAAAGGTGCAATCGCAGTAAGTTCACATGTACAGCTATAAGTCTTCAGCTTATTATACTTTGTTTCATTGGCTCAGGTACATTAAGCCCAAAAGGAATAGCCCAACATGGTCAGCACTGAACATGGTCACCTTCCATGAGTAGAACTAGGCAGCAACAGTCCCTCTCTTTGGCTCCCCAGGCACCCTAAAACCTGGAACAGAGAGCTTAGAAAACCTTCAGAGTGTTTTTTTGTCAATAGTAAGTACAAGGCAAAGGGAGTTGCTGCCACAACATCATATCACATTGGATTTAGGCCATGGGCCCCTATAGATAATACAGTAACACTTTCACTAGAGACAAGAGATAAATTCCTTTGTATTTGAAAGGAAAGATTGCACTACTAGTGCTAGTAACTTTATCATTTTTTTCTTCTCACTTAGCTCTTGAGTTAAAGCCAAGATAGATGGATTCAATTTATCACGTCATTGTGTGCAGAACAAAGAAACCACATATAAGTAAATTCTTGATTCTTAAGTCAGAACCTGTCATTCAAAGAAACTAAAAATATACATTAAGGGTGTTGGGAAAATGTGCATAGTCAACCATTTTCTTGAAAGTTTTCATTATAGCTGTCCCACTGCCAAAGAGGCTGTTCTGCTGAAAAGATGTTTATCTCTTTCATCATTAGATACTGATGTGATCTGAAACATTCTGTGCTACATTCAACTTTTGTCAGTACAACTGAGAGATGATTTTCAAACACAACTTTTGCCTTTCCAGAGCGTTTTGAATCTTTCTTGTAAATGTTGGTTATAATTTAAGGACATTAATAACTGTGGTGGTGCAGCTAAGCCCTCCTCTCACTCTGGTGATCACTTCTTACTTCCTGTGGTGGCTGTGTCCTCATCGATTCTCTGCTTAAAAATTACCACAGGGCAGTTCTTGAAATAAAAGATGACCACCAGGGAAAATTGGATGTACTGTACATATTTCTAAGGCTTGGTAATAGCATGACAGGAATCCACAATTCCAAAACCAAACAGGCTTAGACAGGAGTTAAGCCAATGACAAAATATTTATAACACTTGAAGAGGATAATAAATAATATTGAGATAGGGGTCAATGGCACTTTCAGTGATTGTTGCATTTTTCACTTTCACTACATTTTTCACTCTTTTCACCTTCATACTACAATCAAAATCCCTCAAAAATCCTTTCCTCACAGTACTCAAGTTCTCCTGACCATTCTTTTCTGGCTCAGGTGACATTCAGGTTGAACTCTTGTTCTTCAGTCATCGTTTCCTAGCATTCAATAGGCCAGAAGTGGCGACCCTGCAGCCCTCCAGATATTTTGATTTCCAGAATCCCTGGCCTGTATGGTCAATGATAAAGGACTGTCAGTTATAGCCCCAAACACCTGGAGTCCGTGGTGTGAACATGAAGAGAATTATGAAATAATTCACAGAAAGTTTAATACAAATGTGACAATCACATAAAGTGCAATTGATACATAACTCAATATAATTTTACCACCCCAATGGGTCAACTCTTTGAAAGTTTGTTTCAGTGGGTCTACTCTAGGTAGCACTAAAATATTAGAGAAATGCAAAAATGTGCATTAAAGACTATATATCTTTCCACAGGATTCTATGATTCTGTAGAAAATAAACTTTGAAAAAGCGTGGGACAACATGGTAATATTCACCTGGTGAAATTCATGAAGTAAAATGGGAGTAGGAGACATATGTACAAGAGTAGACTTGATCAGCTGCTATGAAATAATTTATATATCTGATACTCATTTTACACAGTTCAATGAACAGCTCCAATTTAATTAGATACTAGAACACCCCATAGGGAAGAATATGATTTCTCTCCCTGTTTTAGGAGGGAATTTTGGATTGGATTTGTGATAAGAGAATTGGCAGTTAAAAAATAACAACCCTTCCAGAACTCAAGTATGCTCATTTTGTCCTTTCTCCATATGTGTTATATATTATGCAATGGCTGACTCAGGTGCTACATTGTGTCTTGCCATCTGTTTCTCAAATGTATTAAAATATGGCACTTGAGAGACAAGACTTGCTCTAGATTTCTGCACCTCAAACAATTTCCCACTCTCTTTCACCCTGCCCATCTTCTAGATCAAGGGTCTCCAAACTATGGCCCGCAGGCCACATCATGCGTGCATTGCCATTTTGTCTGGCCCATTCGCTTCAGCCTATGCTGTGTGTACATGGGGGTTCAGGCGGGCATCCATCTGTGCATGCAGGCAGGGTATGTGGGGGTGTGCATGAATGCATACAGGTGCCCGTGGGGGTGGGCGTGGGCATGGGCGTGGGAGGTGTGGGAGTCTGTACATGTGTGCAGTGGGCAGGTGAGTGCGTGCATGAGATCTTTGGTTCCTTCCCACCTCCAAACAATTGCTGACTTTCTGATCACTAAGTGGGAGCTCTCAGATCAAACAAGATTATTTGAAGTGGTCTGAACATGCAGACAACACTGGTTAGATAATACAAGGTTGTGACCTCCATCACCTGCCCCCACAAAGTGTTTGAAGAAAGCAGAGTTTTGGGAATTTGTACTTTCCATGTCCTATACAAACTCTACAACCCAACCGTGCCATATGCTTTCTAATACTAATCAAGGTTCTGTCCTTTCATACCCTTTAGAAAATAGGGAGGAACAAAGCAGGAGTGAATCAGGCCTTGCTAAACACAAGAAAAAGCTGAGCAATACAACTTAGATTTGTCAAACGCTGAATTTGTTAAAATCACACTGGCTTATTTACTGTGTTTAGTTTTTCTTTTTTCCAAATAAAAGATTCAGACTCAAATGGGGAATGAGTGAAACACTGTAGACCATACCTCCTCGAGCTGCACCAGGAAGGTAACATTGTGCCCTTGTTCTGATGTCAATGTGCCATCTGAAGTGACAAGCCGAAGCCCTCGTGGGGCCTTGCCAGGACACTGCTGCGGCTTGGCTGTGTACCGTTCACGCACACCATCTGTGCAGTTATTAGATACAACTTTCCTATACCTGTTGAAAGGAGGAAGCAGAGACCAGAGTGGAAGGAAGGTTGACAGGATGCTCCTTTCAGGTCATGTCCCCTCTCTCCCAGAACAGCATCGCTGCCAATTATTCTAAGGAATAGAATCACATGTCAGTTTAAATTATCTAGCTTTAGGACCTGGGCTATATAGCTTGGAAGTAAGACACCCACTAATACTGTGAACTCAAGAATTTAGCCAGAGGTTGGGAGAGCAATTCCCCACTACTATGCATTGCAGAAGAGCCAGCCTGTGTGACCAAGGGCAAGCTCTGCAGTCCTAGGATGACGTAGAAGAAGGGAAATGTAAACCACTTCTGATTATTCTCTACACAGAAAACCATAGAAAGGATTGCTGTAAGTCAAAATTGATTTGATGGCACACAATCATTATTATAACAAGTTACTTTTCAAGTAATAAGCCACAATGGATATAGCTTTCAAAAGTAAAATGAGTTGGAACCACATTGCTGTTTCTGTTGTAACATCTTCCAATTACTTTTAGATCTCACTTTCAGAAGCATTTTGAGCTGGATTTCTTCAAGTTTTATGTGATTCTCTCATCCATTCTAAGGGCAGTGAATTAATGGAAAGGGTCCATCTTTGCCACAGTTCTCTAACCGATTCCTTTTAAAAAGTGACTTTCTAAGCTTCTAAATTTAGATTCTATTGACTCAGCAACAGTCCCACATGCTGTATGCCGCTTTGTAAAAAGAGTGGGCATCAAATATTGTACAAACTATTCTTGTGAAAATTTGACAGTAACTGGAAAGTTTTTACTTGCTTTAATAGAATGGTAGCAATTTTCCATCTCTGTTACTGAATTTAAGCAGCAATCTGCCATAATGCATTTAAAAGCATGCATGAGGTTTTGCCAGTTGCCACTGAAATTCTGAAGCATGACTAGGAGGACTATGAGAAACTGGAGATACTAAGGAGCAATAACATGTGGCCTTCCACCTAGATTCCCTTATCTGGTTTAACAACTAGCTGGTTAAGAACTGTTGTTGTTGTTGTTTAGTCATTAAGTCGTGTCCGACTCTTCGTGACCCCATGGACCAGAGCATGTCAGGCCCTCCTGTCTTCCACTGCCTCCTAGAGTTTGGTCAAATTCACATTGGTAGCTTTGATGACACTGTCCAACCATCTCATCCTCAGTTGTCCCCTTATCCCCTTGCCCTCACACTTTCCCAACATCAGGATCTTTTCCAGGGAGTCTTCTCTTCTCATGAGATAGCCAAAGTACTGGAGCCTCAGCTTCAGGATCTGTCCTTCCAGTGAGCACTCAGGGTTGATTTCCTTCAAAATAGATAGGTTTGTTCTCTTTGCAGTCTAGGCGACTCTCAAGAGTCTCCTCCAGCACCACAGTTCAAAAGCATCAATTCTTTGGCGGTCAGCCTTCTTTATGGTCCAGCACTCACTTCCATACATCACTACAGGAAAAACCATAGCTTTGACTATGCGGACCTTTATTGGCAAGGTGATGTGTCTGCTTTTTAAAATGCTGTCAAGGTTTGTCATTGCTTTCCTCTCAAGAAGGAGGCATCATTTAATTTCATGGCTGCTGTCACCATCTGGAGCCCAAGAAAGTAAAATCTGCTCCCATATCTTCCCCTTCTATTTGCCAGGAGGTGATGGGAGGTGAATTATACTTAATTCAGGACAAACCTAGCCTTGATCAAGGAATGTATCTGCCATAAACACTGCTGTGCACTTTTGCTAAGTACAATGTTGTTTTCTTCTTCACAGCATCACAGTAGGTTTATTCATGCTCCAACAAATGTATCAGTTAAACCTCTGCAACTAATGTGGTTGGTTTTGTGACCTATTTTGTGCTGAAAGGGGAGAAAATACAGCTTTACTCTTGCCATTCTTGCTATATAGCAACTAAACCTTCTGCGGATTAGTGGCATTCAACCCCAAATGTCAACTCTCTACATGTATTTGGTATGACCTCAAGTGATTTGGGGAAGAAAAATGCATCCGTGCTTATTATATGCCAGGTGAATGGTTTAAGATAACAACGAGCAATACTGTAGCTTTCTAAGAAATTGGAGTGTCCATACTGATAATAAACGTGGGAAATGCTCGAGGATTGGGACAGTCTGATTTGCATTTTTTCCGTTTGACCACATAATGCAGAATGAAACATGAATCAGCTCAGAGCCCTCTCCCCTCATCTGTAGTTTTAGGCTCCACTGCCAAAGCTCAAGAATGGAGAACAAATCTTCTCTCCATTGGTAAGAGATTTTTTTTTCTAAAATAAAAGATGAATAAAAGAGGATGAATAATAAAATCTTGTTTCCAGCTTCTTAGGTAGTCCCTTTTTAATACTGCCACCTGCAGGACTATAAATAGAGCTGCAAACAAGTCTGTCTTCTCCCTGTGTGGTCAGTTAATGCGAAGAGACCAGGGAATACCTGAATTCCCAGGGCAACTTCACAGTGAGTAAATGCAAGGGAGTGTGTGTTCCCCTCACTGTGTAGGCACACCCATAGCTGAGTATCTTGAAGTGCAACTCATTCTATAAATGTCCACTGGGAAAGAAAGTTGAATGGAATTTTGCTCCTAGGTGAGTGGGTGTACATTTGTAGAGCTAATGTTTTTATTAGACATGTATCTTCATGCATAAATTACAAATGTTGAAAGATCTGCCTGCTGCTGGGCTATGATCTACTAGCCCTCTGTGTATTCTTGCCACCTCTTCCTGATGTCTTCTGCTTCTGTTAGGTCCCTACCATTTTTGTCCTTTATCATGTCCATCTTTGCACAAAATGTTCCTTTAACATCTCAAATTTTCTTGAACAGATCTCTGGTTTTTCCCTTTCTATTATTTTCCTCTATTTCTTTGCACTCTTCGTTTAAGAAGGCCCTCTTGTCTTTCCTTGCTGTTCTCTGGAAGTCTGTATTCATTTTTCTGCAACTTTCCCTATCTCCCTTGCATTTGGTTTCCCTTCTCTTCTCTGCTATTTATAAGGCCTCATTGGACAGCCTCTTTGCTTTCATGCATTTCCTTTTCTTTAGGATGTTTTTTGTTACGAGCCTCCATCCATAGTTCTTCAGGTACTCTGTCCACCAAATCTAGTTCCTTAAATCCGTTCTTCGCTTCCACTGTGTACTCATAAGGGATTTGGTTTAGATTATACCTGAATAGCCCCATGCTTTTTCCTACTTTCTTCAGTTTAAGCTTGAATTTTGTTATAAGAAGCTGATGATCAGAGCCACAGTCAGCTCTTGTTTTTGCTGACTGTATAGAGCTTCTCCTTCTTTGCCTGCAGAGGATATATATAATAAATCTGATTTTGGTATTGTCCATCTGGTGATGTCCATGTGTAGAGTCGCCTCTTGTGTTGTTGGAAGAGAGTATTTGTGATGACGCTTGTTCTCTTGACAAAACTGTATTAGCCTTTGCCCTGCTTCGTTTTGAACTCTGAGGCCAAACTTCCCTGTTGTTCCTTTTATCTCTTGACTCCCTACTTTAGCATCCCAGTCTCCTATAATGACAAGAACATCTTTCTTTCATGTCAGTTCTAGAAGGTGTTGTAAGTCTTCATAGAACTGGTCAATTTCAGCCTCTTGAGCATTGGTGGTTGGTGCATAAACTTGGATTACTGTAATATTGAAAGGTCTGCCTTGGATTCGTATTGAAATCATTCTATCATTTTTGATATTATATCCCATTACAGCTTTTCCCACTCTTTTTTTTTGTTTTGACTATGAGGCCTGCTCCATTTCTTCTATGGGCTTCTTGCCCACAGTAGTAGATATGATAATCATCTGAGTTGAAGTCACCCATTCCCATCCATTTTAGTTTACTGATGCCCAGGATGTCAATGTTTATTCTTGTCATCTCCTGTTTGACCACATCCAGCTTACTAAGATCTTATGTTCCAGGTTCCTATGCAGTATTTTTCTTTGCAGCATCAGACTTTCCTTTTACTTCCAGGCATGTCCACAGCTGAGCATCCTTTCAACTTTGGCCCACCTACTTCATTAGTTCTGGAGCTACTTGTACTTGTCCTCCACTCTTCCTCAGTAGCATGTTGGGCACTTTCCGATTTGAGGGGCTCATCTTCCAGCGTCATAGCTTTTAGCTTTTTGTTTCTGTCCATGGAGTTTTCTTGGCAAAGATACTGGAGTGGCTTGCCAGTTTCTGCTCCAGGGGGATCACATTTAGTCAGAACTCTCCACTATAACTTGTCCCACTTGGGAGTCCCTGCACGGCATAGCCCATAGCTTTTCTGAATTACTAAAGCCCCTTCGCCATGACAAGGCAGCAATCCATGAAGGGGGAGGAAGAACTGTAGAGAATTCCAAAGCTTAGTGGTTTTGTATCTGTTATATTCATGTCAGCGTAATAAAGGTCACCACATTTTGAATGTATTCATATGGGCCAACAAACCTTAATACTTTGTGTTTTTCAATGCTATAACTCATAAAACAAAACAAAAAAAACTCACTGCTCTGATAAATAGCATGGAAACCATTTTAACAACCATTCATGCAGATGATTATATCCACCCAAGCTAGACCTGGTAGCTCTGACCACTCACCCAGTGCTATTGAGATAACTCTGACCGAGACTGCAGTCTTTCGACAAGGATGATGGATTGTACCAAAATGCAGGCAGACACTGGCCATTGCTGTGGCGCTCAAATCCATAGTCACTAGTTCAGAAGAAAGACAGATTATTTCAATTACATGCAAACTGCACACTGAACTGGAACACATTAAAAATGAATCATAACAAAATGTATCACACTCACATACACAGTGGCTTGTGTACATACTTGGATATCAACCCACCTTTTGATATTACACAGACACATATCTGTGTCTGTGATTTGGCACATGTATATCTATATATTTTTAATGAGAACAGCATATATCTACGGAGCTCCCTCCTTGTCAATAATTTCACAGCGTTAATCTGGATTACATTCAGATGACATCCATTCTCAGCAGAATAATTTCAGAATAAACTACAGCACCCGAAAAAATTATTAATCAAATACAGTAGCCACAAATTTATGCTGATGGAGCTATTTTAGCATAAATACAGGTGCTTGCAAAACCTGTGTTCTATCATTGACCTGAGGACCTTCCAGGCATTGATCCATTGGCAATGGAAGCCAGTAATGAGCAGGGAAATGTAAGAAACTGTGTCAGGATGGACTTGAAAACCCAATATTATCACTTCCCTCTTCAGTTTGTATGAGCCGTGCAGCCAAGCCCTGAGTCTCCTGAGCCTTTTATGTAACATGTCAATAGAGGAAAGTTGGTTAATTGGTTTGCAAACAGATGTTTGGTTCTCCCAAATGATGCAAATTAATTTTATAAGCATCTTTAGTGGAGGGATAACATCCAGGCAGTTGAAATCATCATTCAGCAATGGTAACATTCATTTTCATTTCCCAGAGAAAACCAAATATTGAGGCTCCCCCTCCTCCCTATAATCTGATTGTCAACAAGCCGGAATGCTTGTATTGCTGAGCTGTCATGTATCAATGTAATTAAAAAGCGGTAACACTGCACTCTCACAGCATGCTCAATAATCAAGCGAAAAACAACACCGTGAAGCATGCAGCAACGTGAATACAAAGCCTGATGTAATCTAACAAAATTAGTTTGTGTTTCCATGCTGTCTTGCCTCTCTCTTTCTAGACAAAGGATCCTTGATGATAATCTTAGTATCAGATACAGATTATACCAGCAGTGGTTAATTTTTAAAATGAGCAGGAATAAGGGTTAAGCACTTCCAGGAGTAGTGCTTCCTGCCTTAACAGTTGTATCCTTTTGATGATGTTTGGGAGGTAGGTGCGGAAGAGAGAAAAGGCTGCTGGGCATTCACTGAGACGCTTTCTAGTGTCTTCTTATATGCTATTCTGGTTCATTGCAACCATGATTCAGACCTCAGGTTCAGAATGATTCTTAGAACACTGAATAGTCTCTTTTATTGGGCTAGCCTATCCTAAAACTGGTGGACAGAGGCTACTCTCTTTGCTAAGAAAAGTGCATATTCATAGACCCACATTATGTGTATATATTAGTGATTCCCAACTTGGGGCATGAGATTCAGGGGTATGAATCAGGACATTTATGGGTATGCAAAAATAAATAGTATAATGGTGTGGGAAAGTACATCTGACAACAGTGTAAGTTGCTTATTTATATCCTGAACAGTGAGAAACCCCTCGATTTCTTCCTCCTTTCTCCACCACCCATGTGATAGCCCAGCCAATTGGCTTTCAGTCCAAGGCGATGTCCATTCTTGTTCTATCACTAATCCAGGGATTTGTGCCACCGGCTCCTTTCCTATCAATGGTAATTTGTACGGGACAAAATTCATTACATATTTCAGCTCCTTTGCTGCCACACTCGTGCATGCTACCAGAGAGAATGAGGAAGTGGCCTGAACACAAGTGGGTGAGGAGTCTCCCCTAGCTCCGCCCCTTAATATGAAGGGTACAATTTAAGAACATGGGCTGCCAAGGGGTGCACAAGTGAAAAAGGGTTGGGAACTACTGATATCTATGTTTGGATGTATGCATGCTACTTGTATGGTGATCTTGCTTCTGATGTTTTCAGCTTTGTCCTATGTGAATTTGGGGGATAACTGGTTAATAAGTTTTATATAATTTGCTTTTTTCCTCTGTGGTCATTTTTCTCTTAACCAATCTCTGCCCTAGGCATAGTTTTTGTCCAAACTACATAAACCCTGATGAGAAAAAAAGTGTTCTTATCTTGCTCTTTTTCTAAAGGCTAGAAATCTCACAAAAGGCTCAGAAGTTTCTTACTGATGTGCATCTTCCATGCTGGAAAAAGAGCACATGGGAAAGGGAGCATAAGAGGATAAACTCTGAGTGGAGGGGAAATTTCCAATTCCCAATCTATGCAAATGGCTCATTCCTCAAGCCAAATCTCCAACATCCACTTTCACTTTATATGTATGCAATAGGACTGCATCATTGAGATTGTTTAGACTTTGGTTTCTAGGATGATGCAAGCACTCTGGGAAGTGCAGTTTAGAAACTGAAATCCGCACACCTGAACTCACACACAACAAGAGAAGAACTTCCTAATTATCTGCTTTCTAGGATGATGCAAGCACTCTGGGAAGAGCAGTTCAGAAACTGAAATCCGTACACCTGAATGCCCTACTCACACACAGCAAGAGAAGAACTTCCTAATTATCTGTACCATCAAGCTTCCAGCCTTCTTGTTTCCTGTGGTTTGCTTGTAAGAAAAGGAGGCTGCTGCCATGCTTCCTGAGAGGTGTAGTTCTTTGGGAGGAGCCTTCTATAGAGTCAAGACTGCCTCTCCAGGAAGGGCCGCATCAGCTTCCTTTAAAAAAAAATCAGCTTCAGGAAACAGGAAGGGTGGGTGCCTGGGCATGCACATAAATCACTAGATAGCCTTTCTCAAGGAGCGGGAAGGGCATTTTATAAGCATTTCTTGGCTGCAGTTTGGTTTCTGAGCTGCAATTCCTGGAATTCTTGGAGAATTCTGGGGATTGAAGTTCAAAAAATCTGAATGGCACATCCCTAGTATGAAATTGTGTTATTTATAATAATGACTATTTGTACAGTTTCTTTGCAAAATATCCCACCAGAAAATGGCAACTCGATATACGATTTTTTTTTCAGTCCTGCATAAGAGCAATAACAGTAGCATTTTCCTCTTCAGCTGCAGTAATGAGCAAAAAAATTAAAACAAACACACAATAACCAAACCAGAACATAATAAATTCTTATTTTGAATAAAAAATTGTAAATATTTAATCTTTAAATTTCTCTTGTATAGAATTCTTATTTTGTGCACAAAAGTGTCCATGTGTGGAAAATGAACAAAAACTTTTAGTTGCATCCAACAGAGAGAAACATTGCAGTGGGGGGTTGTTCTCATTGCGATAAAGGAATGAGCAAACCTTGTACAATCCTAGTCAGATCTGGGTTTAAAATACATGACGGTGTTCTCCCCACTGTAAACTAGCTCTATGTTCTAACTTAACAGGCAGACACAGACAGTTGATTGAAACATTTTAATGTTTAAGCGTTTGCCTTGTCTGGATATTGGCATGCATGTACACACGCAAGCACATGCAAATCTTGAGAAATGATGCCAGTGGTGCCTCTGCATCTCATGAGAGAGGCATTAGTATCCTTCTCTCACCTTGCAGACCCTTAATCTAATGAATTTCTTGTCTCCTCTTGGATGCACCCGAAGCACTGATGATAATGACAAATTGCTGCCTACCTGTAGGCACAACAGGCTGCCTCACAATCAACAAGCATTAGCATCAACAGGAGCAGCAGAGGATGAACCTGGCTAGTGAATATGGGAGTTAGGGGAACTGAGGATGACAGATTTAGTGCCAGGCGTTTGCTGTTTACAACTGGTGTTTATAATTTACAGTCTGTGGCAGGTTGAGACCCAAATTAGACAAGCATGTAATGGTTACTGAGCGACTCCTTTAATGGAGAGAAAGTACTTTCCAGTGAGATAACTGGGAGTACCAAAGAAATGGAGTGAGAGCAGGGAGAAAAGGGTTGAACCATTCCCATCTGTGTTTCCTTCTGGATTCCTGAGATTTAGGGGGAAGTTATGATTTGGATTAGGAAGAGGATGAAGTTCCCACTACATCTCCAATCCAGATTGCCTGCTGGAAATAGCATTTTTCCCCTCATTTAAAGCAGCACCCATGGCACCATGGCATACTTTCTGAATGTAGGAGATAGTCTGGCTTCAGCAAAATACAAAACTGAGGCAATTTGCCACCAAGGGTTTTGCACCTTTTATTATGTTGGCTAACTACACCAGAGAATTTTCACCTTGATTTCACAAATCTGCTTTACGATGGAAAATGACATCACAATTAAACCATTGCAGGGCAGAGTGTTTGTATGAGCATCTGATAATCAATGAAGAGAACTGTCTAAACTTACTTCTCTAAACATTTCAGGAGTAATTTAAAGAGACAATTGCGCAGGTCATACTTAGACATACACATATGCACAACACACCAGGAGTAGAAATACAGTCTTATGAGCTTCACTTCGGGGAGTATTTTGATGTGAGAAGGAGGAACTGAGGCAAGATAGTTCTGCCAAACAGCAAGCTACCACAGCCTGTCAAAGGTGACAAGCCTGTGTAACTTCTGTTCCAATAGTTTTGGGAAAGAGCTCTGCCAGATTGTCACTGGCATTATCAATCATGCTAGTAATAATCCAGCGGAAATCTTTGAATATTAAAAGGTTTCCCCATCTTGAAACTCCCACAGGCTTCCCTGGGGCAAAAAGGGGAAACAGGAAGCTTAAAATTTATTTATATTAAATATCCCCCTCAATGGATGACAACATCACCCTAAATTAAAACCAACCAACCAATACACACTGTGTAAAGTTGTGCAAGAAGCTTTTGGTCGTTAGACACAAGATATAATAAACAACCAAGATGACTTTTAAAAAATAACAGAATGAAATAAACACACAAATAAGAAAATTTGGAAAACCTGGCAATTTCAATGTCACCAGCCTTCATTTTTTAAAATGCCAAATTTAAGCACTTTCCCACCAGTGCAAGGACTCTGTTGAGAGTACGAACAAGATCTATCCTTGCCAGTGTAAGAGAGAACAAGACAAATTAGGAAGTACATCTCTACCTGTCT